AACTAGAATATACAAAACTATAATTTTGTCTGTGGTGCTGTATGGGTGTGAAACTTTGTCTCTGACATTAAGGGAGGAACATAGACTGAGGGTGTTTGAGAACAGGGTGCTGAGGAGAATATTTGGACCGAAGAGCGATGAAGTGACAGGAGGCTGGAGAAAACTGCATAATGAGGAGCTTCATAACTTGTACTCTACTCCAAGTATAATTAGAATGATCAAGTAAAAGAGGATGTGGTGGGAAGTGCATGTAGCACGAATGGGGTAGACGAGGAATGCATATATAATATTGGTGGGAAAGCCAGAAGGAAAGAGACCACTGGGAAGACCAAGGTTTAGGTGGGTGAGCGATAGGATGTGAATGTATGGTTTGGATTGATCTCGCTCAGGATAGGGACCAGTGGAGGGCTCTTGTGAACGCGGTAATGAATCTTCGAGTTGTATAAAATGCTCGGAAATTCTTGCATAGCTGCAGAATTGGCGGCTCCTCCAGAAGGGCTCAGCTGCATGAGTAAGTAATTAAGTAAGTGGAAGAGAGTGAAACAAACGAATATCAGCAATATTCTTGCCATCGGTACGAGTATTTCCGTTTCCAGATGCCGATACAACAGAAATGTTTGCAATTTCTTCCTGTTTAATTGCCTCATATCCTAACCTAACTCCATTTTCTGCCAATAGTAATGTAAATTAATAGAACTAATTTCCACACGTTCAATCAATGACTTTCCATTGAAGTGATTTATAAAATTTTTGAACAAGACGGTTCGTATTCATTTCCAGGCCAGAGCACTTGCTGTGGAGGCAGGACAATGTCTAACAGATGCAGAATGGCGAATTGTAATTGAATGCGTTATAGTGACATTCAGATTCTGTTTTCTTTGGAATGCTGACTTGGATACAAATGCAATTTAGTAGCGACATTTCAGTGGGATGCCCTGTCTTGTTTGTTGCGCGTTGCTTTCCTTCCTTAACCAAATCTAACGTGCAATTATCGATGATCTGACAATGGATAAAGCTTCATTAAAGTTCTGGAAGGATAAACAAGGACACAGGAATGTTATCAAGATAATTAAAATAAAAATTCTTCATCTCACCTAACTTTTCTGACAGTGCACTTTGTATAAGTAATGTTATCGCCCACAATTTATTCTTCACCGAACAGGTTCGGGTAGCTGTAACGCTCCAGACGTGTATTAGGGAGGTTCTTGTTTCGAATCTAGAAGGGGCCGCGGGTTATTTTAACATGATTTTTTTTATTTTCCCCCTCCAGTGTATACAGGCAAATTCTGGTATAATATTTCGCAGAACCCAAGAATGCTTCGCTTGCAAATCCTTTCGAATTCAACGTCCATCAATCACCCTTCCATTCGAAGCGCTAGGATAGATACTGACAGTGCACTAAAATAAATATCAAACTATCGTTCGATAAATTCCCAAATTACCATATTAAAATTTTGTTAGCAGATTTCAATGCCAAAATATATACGGAAGACATTTTCAGGCCAACGACGAGCTTGATAACTTGTACTCTTCACCAAGTATAATTAGAATGATCAGGTCAGGGTGCATTAAATGAGCAAGGCATGTAGCACGAATGAGGGCTTAGGGGAATGCATATAGGATATTGGTGGGAAATCCAGAATGAAGGAGACCACTAGGAAGACTAAGATATCGGTGTGTGGGTATATTAAAATGGATCTTAAATAGGATTGGGTGGTATGGACTGGATTGATCTGGCTCAGGATAGGGACCGGTGGAGGACTCTTATAAACACGGTAATGAACCTTCGGATTCCATAAAATGCTGGGAAGTTCTTGAATAACTACACAACTAGCGGCTTCTCAAGAAAGGCTCAGCTCTATGTAGTCAGTTCTGATTTATATTGGATGATGCTAGGGTCCATAGCCCTCCCCCCACTTTGAATTTATTGCTGGACTTCGCTGTCAAATCGTGGTTTGCAAAGCGTTGCTTATTGTGGAAACTAAGCAGATTTCAGGAAAACGCAGATGTCTGCATCCTGTCCTAACGGCAAGAGAGGGTTGAAGTCTCTTTCCAAATGTAAGAATGGGGCTACTTCCCTTTACTTAAATCTTACAGCTTGTGTCTAAATACAGCGCCTGTTAATGATCAAGGTCCGTATTCTTCATTAGCGGTTACATGGGACATATTTTCCAACGATTACGACAGGTCAGGAAAGCTGTACATGTACTAATGGCTAAATTTAGAGAAAAACTTGTCGAGAAATTTCTCTTGTACTATGGAAAATTAACCGCTTTACTTGCGGACGAAGGCAGAACACTTGGAAAGTGGGTCGTGACGGTTTATCAGCGGGACAAATTTCATGCCAGTTAAAATTGTAGAGACCAGCCCTGCAGTTGCTTCTAACCTGAGGATCTGAAACACCCTCAGGAATTCACTCACTCATTCACTGGGCACGTGAGGGTTTGGCCTCAGTACCGCCCACAGCGTTTAAGACGTTAGCAGATACTCAAGTATGATTATCTCCCCTTTAACATATGCAACCCTTCTGCCAAACACTTAAATCCATCGAAGGGGTTAGCAGTCTATCACAGCGGCCGCGCTTTCTAAGGTCTGAATTGTCTTAGCCCGCTCGAACATTGGAGTCGTGGGTTCGAATCCCACGCGAGCCATGGATGTCTGTGTGCGTTTATTCTGTCTTTATGCTGTCCTGTGTGTAGGTATAGCCCTTTAGTATATAGGATTAGGAAACTGAAAAAGCGGCCAGGATCCAGCAAAGAACTATAAACCCATTGAAGAATAAATTAATACAATCGTTTGTTATTCTGCTTAATGTATTGTTATAGAAATTGTATAATACGGGACATGGGTCTGTCACAGCAGGGGTTATGAGGAGTTCTATCTTCTGGGATATAAAGCAGTGTAGTTGAAAGACGGCTCCCTCTTCAGGGTCGCAGAATAAGCCAATCATGAAATAGGGGGCCTGTAACTGTCTGCTTCATGCTGATTTCTTGCTTCTCTTGTTCTTCGTCTTTAAAAGGGAGGCGATATTTTCCTCCGAAACGTCGGAGGTGGTGAAGCTTGGAAATCCATGTAATTTCATATGCAGATATCATACGCGTGTAACACTAATAGTACTCGTACGTTTGATAGGATTATGGAATTGAAGTACTTGGGTTCAGTGGGCATGTACATTAACAGAACGAGCAAGACAATCAGAAACGGATAATTAATTGCCAGTAAAGGCATCGGGTTAAAGAAAACTGACAACCTTACTGCCATCTGTGAGCCGATTGTCTAAACAAAACTTGGGAGCCTCGACGTCTCACATCCCTAAGGGCCTTCACGGCCTGTTACAGGGATAGCTTTACCTTTATTAGAAATAGTACGTAATATCTCCCTATCAACGGTTTTGAAACTGTACAACACAAACTAAGTCATTTTTTAGACAGAACTAAGACTATACATATTCAAAAAGTAGTGCGAGGCTGCATACTAATGTAAGTATGGATGAAATACTCTACTGACGCCAGAGGAAACTGTTTATAAGCTAGAGTCTTTGGTTTCAATTCCAGGCCTAATGACAATAAGAACTGCTTTGTCTCATAATTGCCCAATTGTAGGGGTTATGGCAATGTGCTGATTGTGTTCCCTTTCTTGTTGCAGTCGAATAATGCGGACAGGTTTGGAGCACTTCCCAGACCTGAGGGACATATCACAAGGCTCCATAATGCACATGATGTAAGTATTGCAGTATTGTTATCTTCTGTGTGTATAAAAGAGAAATGTAACGGTGAGATTAAAGCTATGACATTTCGAAAATTCGAGTTATCATAGCAACAAAATTTTCGAGAGGTTTCCCATTGCATAGAAGTAAGTTCTGCAGTATGTCACGAACGAGCGAGAGGTCATTTGTTTCAGTGTAATGTTGTCTATTCTGTTTTGGATATGTTAAGTGTAGATCTGTATTTTAAGGGAAGCCTGTTTATGATTGATTTTTTATATTTTTTTCGGCAGATGACGTTAAACGCCTCGACGGATCTTTCGGTAATATGTATGGCTGGAAATGAGCGCGGGAAAAAGTAGGGGAAAGTTAAGAGTGTGAAAGCTTATAAAACAAATGACGGTACAGTAAACCCTCGCTAATCCGGATTAAGGGGGAGGTCATGTGTATTAAGCGATAATCCGGATTACTGAAACAAAGATCTCCCTGAAAGGGAAAATAAATTACAAATCAAATAAGTGGAAAATTTAATAATATCGATAGCGATTGTTGGAAATAAATAAAATACATCACTGTAGAGCCTTTATTTAAAACTACAAAAAGGCAAGAAGCTGAAATCCAGGGTATCCTTCACCCAACTGAAGCCAATCTTGGATATTTTCTTGTGAGGTTTCAGTCTCTCCAGCTGCCCTCAGTACAGTCTGAAAGTCCTCTTGCTCCTAAATGCCACGTATCTTTTAAAGTATCTAGTCATCTGTGAACAGTATTTTTCATATTTCGATCCGGATTAACTGTAACCGGATTTAAAAGTGTTTACTGCACTTCCAGTGTGCGTACTGTACTAATCTTGTACATCCTCGTTCACTGTAACTACAGGTAGGCACCATATAGAACAAAGTAGCTATTCAGAATTTCTGAGGGTAGTGTACATTTTACAACAACCTGGAAGGTGTGGACTATTTGAGATTCAAACCAACTAACTTCATGGAGCTGAACCATTCTTGAGAATCTGCCAGTCGCTCAGCTACTCAAGAACTTCCAAATGTTTTATGGAACTTATCAGTTCATTACAATGTTCACCAGAGCCGTCCACTGGTCCCTATCCTCAGCCATATAAATCCAGTCCATACCTCCCTTTCCTCTGCATTTAAGGTCAACTTTAAATTATCCACCCACCTACGTCTTGGTCTTCCTAGTGGCCCCTTTCCTTCTCACCAATATCCTATATGCATTCCTCTTAACATTCGTGCTACATACCCTGCTCATCTCATCCTCCTTGACTTGATCATTCTAATTATACACAGCGAAGAGCACAAGGTGCGAAAATTTAATTCCCGGAATGACCCTGTGAAACCAAAATTTGCTTATCTGTGTACTAGCGGCTGCTATCGCCTTCGAATACTCTCCTTGTGAAGCTATTCACTTCGTGAGACGATAGTACCACTGCCGGAAACAGTCTTGAAAAACTCTTTCCGGAATACCTCGCAGTAACGTTGTCACGTTGCATTGGATGTTAGGAATGTCAGCAGATCTTTGTCCCATCACAGAATTTTTTTTGGGGGGGAAAGAGCCAAAAATCGCAGGGGGCCAAGTCAGATGAATAACATGAATGGTCCCTTTTTGTAATGGGTTTCTTAGCCAAGAACTCGAGAACTCTTAACGCATCATGCGCAGGCTCATTGGCATGGTGGAGAATCCACTTGTCAGGCCAGAGTTCGGGTCTTTTCCTCCAAACAGATTCCTGTAACCTTGTCAGCACTTCCAGATAACACTGATAACACTGTTGATTCACAGTTTGTCCGCGTGCAATGAGTTCATAGCGAACTGTCCTCTTGTGATCGAAGAAACACGCTAGCATGGTCTTGAACTGCGAGCAAGACATGCATGTTTTTGAGGTCGAGGTGAATACTGTGTTTTCTACTGCATGCTCTGTCGTTGTGTTTCCGGGTCGTATCAAAAACACCACGTTTCATTACCGGTAACGACCCCATCAAACATCTCTGCATTGCACAGAAGACCAGATGAAATGCGAATCTGACGTTGTTTCTGGCCATCTGTCAAGATTCGAGGCACCATCTTTGCGAAAAATTTTCTCATTCCCAAATCCTCCCTAATAACCTGTCGCACTGTTTCCCTGTTCATATTGAATTCTGCTATTAGTCTCACACCTAATTTTCGATCAGAGCACACCAAAATTCGTACTCTGTCCACGTTTGCATCTGTCCCACTTCTTGGGTCATCTTGCACATCTTTTCGCCCTTCCTTGAACCGCCTGTGCCTTTCAAAAACACTCATTTCATCATACCATAATCACCATAAGCCACTGTTAATGGGGCTAACGTGTCACTAGCACTTTTACCAACCTTCACACAAAACTTGATGTTTTGTCATTCTTGTCATTCATTTTTCCGCCAACACTACAGCAAGGACGACTCATTGGTCTGTGGCTCAGGTAAACGCAAGTTGGAACATGTCCGCAAGTGCTGGGGTACATGAGTTTGCCTGACTCAACACCCCAGCGACACGCTGCGGCCATTCCGGGAATTAAATTGTCACACATTGTACAAGTTATGAAGCTCCTGATTATGCAGTTTTCTCCAACCTCCTCTAACTGAGGAACTGTGCGGGAATTTAATTGAGTGGACTGAGGAGAACTACGAAACAGTCTTATTCCGGAAATTCGATGGCCCAACTGAGATTCGAACCTAGGACGTCTGGAATACAAACCTAGAACGTTTACCACTTCACCAACCGGTTGGGTTTTCATGAATTTGGTGTGACAAAGTAAACCTTTCTGAATTACAGGTGCCTTCTGTGGGCTTCAGAAGTGAATGCTCAGTAAAATGTAAAGTTTGAAGGTAACATATATGTCAGTGTATGGGTATGCATTTCAGATTAGGATAATACAGAATACTGCTTTTGTGGTTACGGCATAGAAAAAATAGGATGTCAGTGAATTTAAATTTAAATTCGTGTTCACAGCCCCCCCCCCCG